GAGATCCCCCCCCCCCTCCCGGCAGGCTTTGTGAGCCCTCTGCTTCTAAATATTATAAATCCCATCAACTGCTGTGTTATGGCAGTCCTATACACACTTACTTAAAAATCAGTCCTTCCAATAAGGTCAAGGATTTATACATCTTATACTAAACACTTGTATAAACTGTAATTCAATTTTTAAAAAGAAATTGGGGATTCTGGAAGCTCTGAGCACAGTTGGGACAAAGTGGGGGTGAGCCCACGACAGAACCATTGCTTCTTATCTCTAACCCAGTCCTGTTGTTGCTGCAGCAACCCCTTTTCCCAACAGTGGTCCTTGCCTGAGTACCTGCCAAACATATTCTCATAGCAAGAATCCCTTTTGGTACTGGAAAGAGGGAAGAATGTATTTGAGGCTACTGTAGGTCACAACACTTGCTTCCTTGGCTTTCTGTTAAATGAAGCCGTGCCAATGGTCAGTGACTCTTTAATCTGGATCCAACCCACATAATTGAGGAATGCTTATGAACAGGTTCTCTGTCTTCGAAATCTGTCATCCCTTACAAAGTTGTCAGTGCTTGTAATTAATACCTTTTCCTTAGCTTTCACACTGTCCACTGAGGTTCCAGTTCACTAGAGCCCTGGGCTCAGTGAATTACGAGCATTATTCTAGCTTCTGAAGAGGTTCAGGTTTTGCATTCTGTACCTGTTTCCCCCATTTAGAAAATGTACTGCATGAAGGGTAAGTTGACATGGCTGAGGGGATCCTCCTTGAGGATGAAGAATCCCCCAGAATTGCTTTCAGTATATTAAATACTTTCTCTTTGGTTCACCATCAGCTGTGTTTTCATGTAGACATTTCTGATATCCACTGCCATCCAGCCTCTGTTTGCTCAGAAGTAAATCCCACTGTTTTACCCTTTGCATGATTGCTGAGAAGTAATCATACCAAGTCCACCTGAGATTTAGCTCCAAGCAAGTATATTTAGGATTGCATTCTCACAACTCCATCCTGTATGCTCATTTATGAAGAAGAAGAAGAAGAAGAAGAAGAAGAAGAAGAAGAAGAAGAAGAAGAAGAAGAAGAAGAAGAAGAGGAGGAGGAGGAGGAGGAGGAGGAGGAGGAGGAGGAGGAGATTGGGTTTATACCCCACCCTTCACTACCCAAAGGTGTCTCAGAGCAGCTTACAAACTCCTTTCCCTTCCCCTCCCCACAACAGGCACCCTGTGAGGTGGGTGGGGCTGAGAGAGCTCTTGATGGAAACGGCTCTTTTTCAAGAACAGCTCTTATCAGAACTAGGGCTTGCCCAAGGTCATTCAGCCAGGTGCAAGTGGAGGAGTGGGGAATCAAACCCGGTTCTCCCAGATTAGAGTCCACGCACTTAACCACGACACCAAACTGGCTCAATTGGATTTTCCCTTAAGTATCCAGTATTAGTATAATATTCTGATAAACTGCAACCCACTTGGACAACATTCCAGTCCCGCATAGTTGAAGTTGGAAGCAGATCATTTTGCTGCAGGGAGGGGGCGTCTGCTGTGTGGCCTTGGATAGCATGTATACCATTTCAGATTTTGAGGTGGGGAGAGGCTGAACAAGGTCATAAGGCCTGCATATAGGTATATACGAGGTTAAATAAAAATGCAACTATAAAAATGATTATTTTCATTTTTATACCAAGGTTTGCCAGCTTTTTAACTTCTTATGCTTCTATGCCATCTACTGTATCCCAGTACAGAGAAGTGTAGCATGTGAAGCTTTTCGTGGTCTGGGGATGAAGCAATTGGACAAATTTCACTTCCTGGCCCTGCATCCTGGGGCTGCCGAGCAAGGTCAGCTGCACAAGCAAGGTGGCTTTGCTGTTGCCTCTTCACAATAAGTGCTGGATTGCAATGAGTGCCGCATAAGACAGGTTGCTGTTGGCATTTTAAGCAAAAGGAATTTCAAAGGGGACTTAGCACTTTAGCGTCTCCTTCAGCAACTGAAGGGATAAATGCTGTTTATGATTCCGGTTGCAAAAACAGTAAAGACAAAGATAATACTGAAGGGATAAAAAGTAAAACTGCTTCAAAGAATAAACCAGGAGCTCACAAGATAACATGGCATAGATGATAGGACTTATGTGGGCAATGGCATCCTTTGCCCATCTTGTTTCCCCCAAATTCTGGTGGGGGAGTCAATTTCAATTGGTAACACCATGCAGGGGTGAAAGAGTTAAACACACACACACCATCCTGAAGCAGTGCCTTGTACAGCTGCTATTTCTATTTTTAAAATTCGGGGAAAGATCTGATCACAGATCTTCCAGTGTTTAGTTAAGAATGGATTAAATGGCTAAATCCATTTCTGAGAAATTGTCCTGATATAGTATTTGGGAAACAGTAGTGAGGTGGCTGGTACTTCACCACATTTTCACCCTGACTAAAGCTCCCTCTGCTGGCTTACACTATTCATTGACATTCTTCCCCCGTTTACACATTGTGAAAACTGTTTGACCCTTTCCAAATATCTCTCTCTTTCCAGGACATCGTATTTGACCTAGTGTTGTTTTATCAAGACAGACGAGTTGTTGCTGGGGAGGGTGCAGGGAATGAAGAAGACAGAATATCTCTAAACTCTATAAAATTAATTAAGCCTCTTTGAAGTCACCTTGAAAGGGCTTTCTATTGGCAAGACGATAACATTCTGAAAATACCTCCTTAGAATCCAGCAAATAAAAGACAGGCAGCTGGAAGAAAGCCTCAGATCTTGCAAGGCCTTCAGAGGCTTGGTGGGGGGGGGAAGGATTTGGGGATGACAGAAAACAGCATTGTGGTAAGTCAGAAAAACTGTCTCCATTTGGATGGTTCTGCAGATCCTGAATTAACAATAGGAAGCATCGGGAATCTGCAATAGGAAGGACAAGCTGGACAACCTCCAGTGTGTCCAGAAGAGGGCAACCAGGACGGTGAGGGGGTTGGAATCCAAGTCTTATGAGGAAAGGCTGAAAGAGTTGGGTCTGTTTAGCCTGGGAAAGAGAAGGCTTAGAGGGGACATGATTGCAGTCTTCAGATATCTGAAGGGCTGTCATGTAGAAGAGGGAGCGGATCTATTCTCTCTTGCTCCGGATTGCAAGACTAGATGTAATGGGTGGAAATTACAAGGGAGTCGTTACCGGCTAAATATCAGGAGAAACTTCCTAACTGTAAGAGTGGTTGAGCAGTGGAACAGTCTGCCTCGGGAGGTGGTGGATGCTCCTTCGCTGGACGTTTTCAAGCAGAGGCTAGACAACCATCTCTTGGGTATGTCGTAGGGCTATCTTTCAGCTATGCTCCTGCAGAGTGCAGGGGGTTGGACTAGATGACCTGTAAGGTCCCTTCCAACTCTAACATTCTATGATTCTATGATAAGTGTGTGTAGAGAGTTCTGATTCTCCCTTGATTCCTTGAAATTCGGTTCTCCTCTTGGTTATCTTGGTATTAGATGTCTCATCTATATTGTTGTCATTCAATTATATGTTCATTATTAAAATCAAGTTAAGAATGTCCATTCACACAGCCTTTTCTAATTTCTGTACTTGCCTTGGTTACCTAATGTCAAAGTAGACATGATGCACAGTTCCCCCAGTGGTGCGTATTTTGAAAAGCAGCCTAAGATGGCTGCAAGTTTGAGCACAGAAATGGCCAGTGGGAAATAGGAAAATACTATTCTCTCCCTAACCCAAACATGTGAGTGGGAGTGGTTTTGTTCTTGCTGCGTTAGGAGGAAGGAAGCACCAAGCTCCAGGGACAGGGTGCTGAGGCAGAAAGGCTTCTTCACTCCAGCCAATGGGGAGAGATGGAGGGTGCTGAATTTAGGTATGTCTTGCCATCACATGGGAGACTTTTCACTGTGGCAGAATCCTCCCTGCCCCCGCCCCAGTGCAGGAATAACCCGGGGGGGGGGGGGGATGAGGAGTTTTTCCAACTCCATACCCTGAGTGAGACCTTGAAGCCAGGCGATATTATGGGATGTTAAGGGTGACCAGCCTGGGGGGTGGTCATCATATTTCTGGACCTTCTCAGCTCAACCTTAGATGGGCAGGCAGCAAAAGGTGAGGTGTGGTACATGAGCTGTGAATTTGGCTGGATGCTGTAGATTGTAGATACTTCAGCCTACCTGAAGTAAACAGTAACCTCCACTGAGCAAATGGAAGGAAGTTCCGTAGCAAGAATTAGTTGCTGTTGATCTGCTGTTCGGTTAAGCTGATCTCAGTTTAACCTAGCAATATGAGTCTTGTATCTTAATTTGAATTCATGCTAAGTTAACAGTTAACACTTAACAGTTAACAGAGCCAGTTTGGTGTAGTGGTTAAGTGTGTGGACTCTAATCTGGGAGAACCGGGTTTGATTCCCCACTCCTCCACTTGCACCTGGCTGGATGACCTTGGGCAAGCCATAGTTCTGATAAGAGCTGTTCTTGAAAAAGAGCAGTTTCTGTCAGAGCTCTCTCAGCCCCACCCACCTCACAGGGTGTCTGTTGTGGAGAGGGGAAGGGAGAGGAGATTGTAAGCCACTCTGAGACTCCTTTGGGGAGTGAAGGGCGGGCTATAAATCCAATCTCTTCTTCTTCTTCTTCTTCTGGATGGACTGGCTTTTTCTCAACTCAGCTCCTCTGCTATCTTAATTTCTTAAGCACCGTGCTTGGGGGCAGGTGACTGCCACTGATCAGGGAGTGCTACTATCTGGGCAACTTGGAAACAGCGGCCGTCATAAAACACACATTCAAGACAAGTTAATTTTGCATTTCATGAGTAACTCATTGGGATCTCTGAATACACTCTCATAAGCGTAATCTGTCCCAGCAAATTGCCTGTGAGATAACAGATAACCAAACATTGCCGAGAGGGAAACTGGAGCCATGAACATTATACGTTTCTAAAGGTTACAAGTTAGAAACAGAATGCAGAGATTGCAGCTGTGAGTTTTTCAGACTCTTAAGATTTTAAAAAATGACAAAGAAGCTAAGATTAGACGCCATCTCAACATCTCAAGTATATTCATTCTTTCCAGTCAAGCTACAGCCACCCGGATGTGGGAGCAATTTTGGCACCATGTATCCAGCTTGCCGAGTGTGCAAAATGGAACAACGGTGAACATCAAACAACTGGCAATGTACAGTAGGCATAGCCGTCTAGGTGGCTCCGGTGCAATCTGATGACAAGTTACATACGGTACTTCTGAAGCCATGGACTCCAATCGATTGCAGAAGGGTGTAGCTCTGTTTAGGATTGCACAGTCAGCCTCAGCAGCTTTTCCCAGTGCCACATTTGTACTTAAAAGGCTTCTTATCTGCTTCTACTGTTCATTAGCTGCTGGGTGAGGCGGGGGGGGGGGAAGGATGCCCCCTTTCTTCAGTCCTCTGGCAGCAAATTGGCACTGTGCATGGGGGGGGGGTCTGCTCTTCAGCCCCCATAACCCTGAGAATGCATGTGGGGGTGACAGGCACCCAGCCGCCTGCCCCGCTTCTTGGCTTCTCCAGACTGGAGCTACATGAACACTACATGAACGCAAACTCTGTTCCTGCAACAATTGTGGGAAGGGATGGGGAGCATGCTGTAGTGGGGATCACTCACAATGCAAGGATAAAGCCTGCTGTCTAATTCTGGAGAGTGGGAGACACCATTCCTCAAAAGCACCAGAGATAATTAAAGACAGGGAACTCAAAATGGCATTCCATCCCCGCAGGTCTTACATGATTGGTTTTCCCTTTGGTGGGGGGAGGGGTTGGACTCATAAAGCAAATACTCTCTCTTTATTAAATAGTGTTAGGTATTGAGCCTGAACTGTACTTGCAAAAGGACTTAGCTTGGGGATGCATAACAATAGCTTGCTAGGATCCTAGAATGGACCAGGAGGGTGGCAGGGATCCCAGAGTTACCCAACTGGGAAACAATGTAGTGTAAATAGCCTATCGTTGGGAGTGGGGTCTGTTTTGGGTGTGACCTTTTTCAGGCATAAATACCTGGCTTCGGCCAGGGGTTTCTCAGTCTTCTTTCTCTTGCTGAATTGCTAATAAACTATGAGCTGATTACTTGAAAGCGTCTGAACCCAGTATAATTCATATAGCTAGAAAGACAGACTCCCATGAGCAAGGGGAATAGTAGTGGTAATCAGGGGTCATTTCGTAGAAAAAGAGGTTCAGGCGCTCATTAGCATAACTCATTTGCATATGCCACGCCCCCTGACATCACTGGAAGTGCGTCAGAAGGCAACACCCACCGCTCAGGCTCCACTGGACTGTTTTGGATTGCTAGCTTTCGGGGGGGCATGCAGATCTGCCCTCACAGAGGAGGGAGAGCTTGTACCTGAAGGCAGGCCGGGGGGGGGGCCTCTGCAACTTACCTGGCTGCTTCTTGCTCCTCGTGGCCCGACTGAGGGCTGCTGGGAGCAGGGGGTGGGTCATATTGCATGTGCCTGCCCCCTGGGCTCCTTACTGCCGGAGCTCTGCTCCTGTGCACTCCCGCAGGAAATTACCCCCGGTGGTAATGAGGAGAAGGCAAGGGCTTCCATCTCTCAGGCATGCTCCAGCTCCCCTAATGCATCTCTTCCACTGATCTTCTCTAATCTCTTTCTTTCCTTATATCTTTAAGGAAGGAGGCAGAGAGAAGGAAGGGAAAGTCAGGCTGCATCTTTCCTTTGTGTTCACCTTTTTGAACAACACTTGCTAAGCACTGGTCAAACCCTCCCCTGGCCAGTAGCTTGCATAGGAGGAATGCATGCACCGCCAGCAGCCCTGCTGATTTCACAGTGGCAGGGGGGAAACCAATTTAACCCAGATGTGACGTTTGTTGCTGCACGGAGCAGCAAAATAGCTTTTTGCCCATTATCCCAATTTCAATCCTTGAGTCAGCTTGAGGATCAGCCACGGTAAGGTGTGATAAATGGGCACATAAAAATATGCACAAAGCTGTGTAGGCACTGGTGTGTGTACGTTTGCACATGCACACCATTGGCGACGTCCTCGGTGCTATCCAGTAGTTGCCTGGGACAGTCATACAAAACCATATATACCTATACCAGAGTGGTATTAGATATGCTTTGGGGGAAGACTTCCAATATTTGTGAGTCTGTGATTCTGACGCAGTCATATCCTATCCCTAAAGCTTGGAGCAAGTCACAGTAATTCGAATTTAAGTTCTGATTGATATATGACATCCTACTTGACCTATGTTTTGCTGGGTGTTGTTTCCTTTTAGATATTACCCTCAAGCATACTTTCTGAATACGCTAGTGCTTGCATATTCATTATACATCACGTATGTCCTGTGATGGAAGGGAAAGCAGCATGGTAGAGCCCAGTCTCCTTAGATCTCAGAAGCTAAGCAGGGTCAGATACTTGGAAAAGAGACCTCCAAGGAAGGCTCTGCAGAGGAAGGCCATGGCCAACCACCTCTGCTTCTCACTTGCCTTGAAAGCCCCCTGCTGGGATCGTCATGAGTCAGCTGTGCCTTGACAGCACTTCACACACACGCACACACACACACACACACACACATCTATATTGTTCTTCCTCATTTGTGTCCTGTAACAACCTAAAATTGAGTTTAAGATCATCCAGCCCAAACCTGCACCAATGATTACTGTTCATTTTTTCCCATGCTACTGCTGCAGTTATTAATCCACATTGCATTCAATCCACAGCATTTCAAGCTGGCTGTCCCCATCCAAGTAATGGTATCTGGACTTGTAGCAAACTTGCTTATAACAGTATTCACCTTTCAAGCTCATCTCATCTGTGCAGGTAAGCAGCACACTGCATTGTTACAGCAGCTCTGCTCTTTGATACCATAGTTAGAGGAGGAGGAACACAATCCCTGAACTCTGCTGCACAAGGAGATGAGGTAGTGAAAAACCATGATGTGGCCATGACGCAGCAGAATTTTGGTAGGAAGCAACCCTAGAGAAGTGGCAGAGCTGTTCTTATAGCCACTGATGGGGCACTGCTGTGCCCTTCATTATATATTGGAGGTTCCAGGATGAAATGATTTAAGAGAGGACTTGAGAGCTCTCCTGCACCCGTGGGTTTTCTCCAACTTCCAACCTTCTAAGAACTCTTTCCATGCACTGCCAAAAAGCTTGATTCATCTGCCATGGGAGATTACAGAGGGTTCTGAGCAAGGGTCATTGCATAAAAAAAGAGGTACAGGAGCTCATTAGCATAACTCATTAGCATAGCTTATTTGCATAATGCCACATCCCCTGACATCACCAGAACTGTGTCAGAAGGCAACACCCACCACTCAGACTCCACTGGACTGTTTTGAATTGCGAGCTAATGGGGGGGGGGGAGAGACGTGCAGATATGTCCTTGCAGAGGAGGGAGAGCTTGTACCTGAATAAAACTTGGTCTTAAAGGTGCCACTGGACTGTTTTGGGCCAGGGGGCTGGAGGGGGGCTCTGCAACTTACCTGGCTGCTTCTTGCTCTGACGGAGGGCTGCTGGGAGCATGGTGTGGACCTTGTTGCATGTGCCCGCCCCCTGGGCTCTTTACTGCCGGAGCTCCGCTCCTGTGCAGGAAATGACCCCTGGTTCTGAGGAACATTCTAGCGTACACTTCGCATTCAAGCCTGACACCATCTTTATGGGGCTTCATCATGCCCTGTAGAAAAGGAGGATCAAGCTAGACAAGATGCTGGGTGATCCATGGCTGGATCTTCTCAGTTAGTTGAAAATGTAAAATGTCGTTGTGTGACCTCCTGCAGCACAGGGGACACTCACCTTGGCTTGCTCCAGAGTCGTATTCATTTTCCAGTCTCCTCTTGACAGATAACCTTCTTTTTTGCACTTTTTTTTTTTTGCTTCCGGGGCTATTAACTGTGTTGTGGGGTGTATGTGTGTCAGATCTGATGGAATGGTGTAGGGTTAGGACTAAACCCCTCCTCCCTCCTTGCATAGCCCAGATCTGAATTGGGGCCAAACATGACTACCCTTTACTGTAAAAAAAACACTGGGAAGAATCAATGAAGGATGATCCAGCATCTTGTCCACCTTGAAGACACCAAACCCTCCCTGTCCCTGTGTTATATTGGTTGGCCTTAATAAAGGAATTGCATGGCTTTTGCGTTTGGCTTGTACTATGACTGATGACATCGCTGAGGAAGACCTGACAGGCTTCCAAGGAAATCCTGTATGTTCTGGAACAGATTTTGAAAACCACTTACCTAGGCTGTGCCAGGGATTGTGCTGGTCTCTGTCAACACCAAGAGACATCAACTGATGCTAGAATGATGTGTTAAATCTTTTCCCAAAGCAGGGCAG